ACTTTTTTGTATTTTTATTATAAACTTTTTGTATTCTAATTTAATTTTTTTTTAAATCACTTTCTTTGCACTTGTAAGTGCATCAAATTCACACATAAAATTCACACACAAAATCATAAAACATTTTAAAAAAGAATATTTTTAGAATTTCTAATAAAGTATATTAAATGCTACCATATTTTTTATATCTGTTATATTATTTCTTTAAAAATAATACACGGTGATAATATTTGGTAGCAAAATCCTTTTATTTACATTTAAATATTACTTTTTTTTATATTTGCTATACAGTGGAACCTCGAGATACGAGTTTAATTCGTTCCAGCATTGAGCTTGTATAACAAATTTCTCGTATCTAGAAACAAACTTCCCCACTGAAAATAATGGAAATTCAGTTAATCCGTTCCACACCCCTAAAAATATCAACATAAAAATCAATGTTTCTAATAAATAACACTGGTAAATGATATAACCGTAGTTTACCTTTATGATAGCTTCTGACAAATGATAGCTTTCGCCACCGACCTTAACTGTTTCTCATTAATCCACACAACAACAACAGCTTCTAGAAGTTTTGGACAGTGCTTGGAAGTAACGGTAACTCCTTTGGCTACATCAAGATTCTTAGTTTCTTTCTTCTTCTTCAGGATAGTGCAGATCGATGTCGAAAAGGCGCAAGTTTTCACCAATTCTGTCACTCTTACACAACGCTTACGTTTATCTATGATTTCTTTCTTATTTTCAATGGACATGGCTTCCTTATTTTTCTATGCAGCACTATCTGAGGCAACAATCTTCTTGGGAGGTATTGTGAAATAATTATTTTGACATTAAATGTAATAAACAATTAATTGACAAGTGCACAAACACATAGATTAAAGCACGCCAAATAAAGCACGCCTATTAAGGATCACGTAGATTAAAGCACATCATGATCTGACGAGGGGAGCCGAACCGATAAATGGCACCATGCATACTTACAGCCTGGCTCATGGCTCGTTACTTGAGGTAATGCTCGTTTCGCTCATACTTTCCTCGTATCTCGAATTTCTTGTATATAGAGGTTCCAATGCATTATTTTTTTAAAAATAGTACATGGTTATAATATTTTGTAGCAACATCCTTTTACTAAGTGATACAGATAAAAAAATCAAGATCAAGATTAACAGCACCTGTTACTAAAAGAGAAATGTAAATATAAAAGTTAAAACTTTTTTTAATTAACTTACATATTAAATCATGCAAGACTTCATAATCTGTGACGTGTGCTGGAATGTTATATTTAGCATTTAATATGCGCAATTTAGCAGAATCTTCAAATGGATGTTCTCTAAAGCAAAGCAGAAACAAAATGCATCCTAAATCCTAAAAAGAGAAAAAAAAGAAAGAAAGAAGAAAAGTTTGTCTATATTTTAAATAACTATATTCATACATTTCATGAACAAAATTTTTAAAATACAATTAAACGTAACAGAAGTAAACAAATTATACTAAAATATTTATTATCAGGTTTCTGCTCAGTTACAAATCAAAATAAAATATTTCTTATATTTATAGAACAAAATTATATGAGAAATAAATAAATACAAAATATTCAAATTTCAAATGTAAACGATGGCTGCCAACTTTCAAATTTGAAAAACTGGGTGATTTTCATACAAAGCGAGGAGCTTCCAGAAGATTTTCATACAAAGCGAGGAGCTTCCAGAAGATTTTCATGGTGCATGATGCTACTTCCATTTAAAAAAAAAATACTCCACACTGACTTAAATTCCCTTTACAATGCGTGAATCAATTTACTGATTTATTTATAATGTGAATATATTATTATTGTGATCACATTTGTCACACAGCTATTTTGATACTACTAACTGAATGACAGTAAAAGATTAAGAAAAATATCCTTCAAAACAGCAATGGGCAATCCTTCAAAACAGCAAAACTAATATAATATAATAACTAAAAATATGTAAATACTTTCACAGCATTTTAATTAGGAAAATGCAAATGTTCATTTATGAACTGCTCATAACATTTCTGGAAATTACTTTGACTGATGCTATACCTCTAATCTTAACACTCAGAGAACACCCCTAATTTATTTTAAGAGAACATACCAACATAAAATTTTAAATTATATAAAAAGCAACTTTAGCTTAGTATGGAGGTTTTCAAGTTTTCCTGTGTCTGGATCATCCTCAAAACCGATAGAAGATAAAATTATTCAAAATGTATGCCAAACTAAGTTTGCTATTTTGCCTTATTTTAGTAATGGCAAAAATTTTAGAATTTAGGAAGACACTGAGCAGCAAAATTTAGACCCCACAGAAATTGCACCAGGTGGCAAAACACCTAGCATAAATAAATTCCTGTGTACACTACATTCAGACAAAAAGATGAATCTTTTAACTTGTCAGTTTTCAAGTTCTTTAATAATAATAAAAAAATTCTACAGATACCTGTCCTGAGAAGATTCGAACCATTTTTGCAATTTTATATGCTTAAGTCTAATGAAAAGAAGAGAAAATAAACATGTTCAGAGAAAGACTTCCAGAATCAAAAACAGAATAAATTTGTTTTCACTGTTCTTTCAAAAAGTCTCGAAAAAATTACAAACTCATTAAAAGTTTCTGATAAGAGAATGCAGAGAATTTTCATTTGTGTCATTTTTGTGGAATCATAGGTCTATAAATCTTGGCTTTAAATCCTTCTAAACCTACCGAGGTGTTCGAGTGTGAGTGATTAAATTGTGCGATTACAGGTCCAAAATAATGTTATAAAACACTCAAGGCACCAAGGCTTTTAGATAGCAAAAAACAAAGATAGTTGGAAATTTTAATGATATAGCACATAGTTCAGCAAAAGTAGTCAACTCAGCTCTGGGGGATAGAGCTGGATTTGCTGAAAGAAATACGACTGTACACCAGCTGTACAAAAACATGCAAGTTACTATGTATCGAAATTACATTAATAAGACCTGCTTACAGTTTTTAGCCTATATAATTTTACTCTATTACAACTAAATTCATGTGGAGTCAATTTTACAAAGCTAGTAGAAGTTATTTTTTAAGATCATTGTATTATTTAAAACTATTTATAAAGAAATTGATTAAGCAGACAACAAAAATACATAGAAAACACCCTTAAACATCAGCAATAAAAATCATTACTTTATAAAATAATAAATAACATAATTTATAAATACACAGATTTGAACACAGTACAGTTTTTAAAAGCAGCATGGTTTTTTTTACAGCATTCTATAAGTCATATCTCAGCTAGAAATTTTAATTTGTGATTGTTTCACATTAAAAGGAATACATTTACAATTATCTGCTTTTCACAGATATGTTCTTACCCATATATCCATTGCCTCATTAATTGGATAATTATTATAGGTATCTAAAATTTCTGGTGGCCTGTACATAGGAGTAGTGTTTTTACACATCTGAAAAATCAGACATATTAAATAGATGATTACATAAAGTTTATGCAAGTACAATTTTTTAATTTATAAAAAAATTTAAAATAATACAAATTTTACATCAATCAAATTTTAAAATTAAGCCACTTACTTCATCTTCAACTAAACTTCTTTGAATAGCTGTCCATGTATTATCAGGAGAATATGATTTTGTAGTAGCACTGCCAAAATCACATAATTTAATTTTCTTATCTGTACCAATTAACAAATTTTCAATCTGAAATACATTAATGATAATGATAAATTTCAAATGAATAAATAAAACATTCTATAAACATATAGTGTGCAATATTATTTCAGAACTATTAATATGGTTCACATCAAAATGACATTATTGCAAATAAATTATTGTATCATATAAAATAATGTTTTCTTCTCTGATACATGTGAATTTCAAAATAATATAACATTCAAGCAAAAAATCACAGAAGCAGAAACAATAATATCTGAGATGAGTATAAAAATACATAAATAAATAAGAAATAATAAATGTCAAATTTCATTCAAAATTGGAATGATACACGGGTGTAAGTTTATGAGACAGCAGTATGATTTAGAAATACTGCAACGACTGGAGACAAGCAGTCAAGGCTCTACTTACAATAACAAAAAAGTTAAAATTTCTTCAAAGTTTGCTATCTAATTGACATGCATTAATAAACCTTATTGAAGATCTCAATAAGAAAACTATTGTTCACTACATTTAGGCATATCTGCAGATTCGATGATCTGTTGTTCAGTTGATTTGATGATCTGTTGTTCAGTTGATTTGATGATCTGCAGATCAGTTGTTCGCAAAAATACAGGGTGAATACTTGACAAAAGTTACAGAAACAGACCCATGCATTTTTTAAAACTATAATGATTGATAATGAAATGTGCTGTTTTCACTAACTTCTGATATATAAAGTTTTCCAGATGCATATTATTGGTCTGGATCTAAAACATAAACAGTAAACCCAAGCCATCTAGCATTTAACCAACCAGAAAGCAAGTATCTGGAATAGTTTACAATTTTAAAAAAACTTTTCCTCCAGAAAAATACGAAAAATTTAGTTAATCAGAGATTTGGGTACTATTCGGTTTCGAGGGCCGTAAAAAAATTGTAGCGAAAATGTATGCACGAAAGCACCAAATCTAGCAAACACGCCCACTTAACAGCGTGCCAAATCTCGTGTATGTGCTGATTTCAGATTGCGTAAGTTTATATAGCTCTATATTTCTAGACCTTTGAATACTATTTATTTTTATTCCTTTTTTGATATCCTATGATTTAACAATTGGATTGCCTATGATGAAAGTCGCGATAGAATTGTGGGTAAGTGCAGAATCACCCACTGCTTGGTGGTTTTAAGAATTGCACCTACTCGTATCCATGTGCACATCGACCTATTTTCACTTAAAAAAAATCCTAGAATTGCACAACAAGGCACTGGCGCACCCCTTGACTTATCTATGTGACATCGATCTATTGTCACTTAAAAAGTAAAGAAAATGACAATTCCCATTTTTTTTACCTTGTAAAAAGCGGCAAAAATAAGGGAGATTCAGCACTTTACCGAAGATGTTTTCAAAGAAAGCATCATCATTATAGAAAATTGGTTTTGAACAACCACGAGATGACATTATGCTTTAGCGATAACTCGTAACGAAATATTATATGAAAATACCTTTCTCTAAATTAACATCATATTTAGATAGTTATTATGTTATGTTATGTAAAGTAGGGGCCACGTACTATTAACTTCCTTTCTTGCGTTAGGATTGCCGCAATTAATTTTGGCAACACTGGCATCACAATAGTTTGGCGATTTTTTACGGCCCTCGAAACCGAATAGTACCGATATTTGTAATATCATTATAGAGCTCAAAATGCTATTAACGCATATATATTGCTGATAAACAGGGTGACTTAGTGCCAATAATGGATAAAAATGTCTTCACAACACAATCATAAGATGTTTGTTTTGATTTTATGTAAATCCAGTTAATCTCAATAACTGGTTTAATTTTCACAAAGAAGAATATAAGTGCTATTTCTTCCTCACATTTTGAAAAAAAAATATTTAATATAGAGGACTGCATGAAGCGGAATGTTTTCAAAGTTACAGGATCCAGGCATCAAAAAGAGTCACAATGCACGATTTTGAAAACAGATACACAATGGCAAAGTAATATGAAAAATTATAATACATGATTTAAATTTTCCATATGCTATATCCATAATTTGTATCTCTTTATTACTTAACTAAATAAAGAACAATCTGATTATTTAAACGTTTGCAGAAATGATTAGCATCATCTCCAATTTTCATGTTCGGCAGGATTTCATAATCGGATCGGATGTTTTACTTTCAAGTTTATAATAAAACGAATAATGTAGTCGTTTTGCAAAGAGTATTTACAGTAGATGCAGAAAGTACTCCAAGCTGTGATAGGTTAATTTTAGTTACCTTTTTCAAGCAGCGTTATGTAACATGGGAAGATTTCGAATTTGGGAGAAGAGATGAATATAGGGAGAAGAACACCATTACAAAATTATTATAGATAATTTTGAGGTCGCAAATCGCATTTGTTATATCTTACACACACACACATATATATATATATATATATATTGCAGCCCCACAGGCAATTTTTTTGAATTTAGAACCAAGACCCTCCAAAAAATTTTAAATTATTAAAGAAAATAAAAATTATTTACAAATATAGGAAATGCAGGACTTAATAGTCAACAAACAGCCTTTCGCTGACAGTTGAAAGAAAATTTCAAAATAAATAAAAGTCATGAAAATCATTAAAAAATGAAAGAACACAAACTGATATAGTTGAATTAGCATTCTCAGATTTTTAACACCTTCAGGAGGCGGTGCCTGTCCATCCTAAATTAACAGAGGTAACTAAATATGTTATACTAAAATTATTTGCTGCTGACACTACCCCTATATATTTAGTTTGCCAAACAAAAATTAAAACCAAGATTCAAATTGAAATGTAAAAGATATTTTTATGCGGGATAACATGCACAAAAAATGGCTTAAAATGGCCACAACTAAAAAATTGTACATACATGAAAACTATAAAAATATGTAAATAGCCAATAGCTACTACAAAAAAATCTGGAAGATTGATTAAACATTATACAAAGTTAAAATTAATATTTGTATAAAAATTACAAATTTTAAAACAAAATTGGCCTAGTTAAAATGGAACTTATTCTTTTTAGCTGTTACCACAAAAAACCTTGGAAAAAAATGAGGGAAGAGACAAGTACCTCATTTTTTTCAACGGACATTTTGAGTTAACAGCTAAAAAGCGCTAAGTTTTTTAACTAGGCCAGTTTGTGCTTTAAAATTTTTTTAATTATTATGTGGATATTAATTTGAACTTTGCATAATGTTAAATTAATCTTCTCATTTTTTATGGTAGCTACTTGCTATTTACTTAGTTTCCATGTGTAAAAAAATTTTTAGTTTTGACAGTTTTTAGCCATTTTTTTGTGCATTTTACTCTATATTATTAAAAATATCTTTAATATTTAATTTTGAATCATGGTTTTAATTTTAATTGGGTATACTATATGTGTAAGGGTCCATAATTTTGAGGAGAGCAAAAAATTTTAATATAAAAACTTCCCTCTGCTAATTTAGGATTAGACAGATGCATATCTAGTGGATCAGACATGGTTGTAGTATCATGACCTGATTTTACCACCTCCTGAAGACATTAACCCTTTATGCATAGTGGCCACACCCTGAAACCCCCAAGTTTTGAATTTTTTTCTCCTCTTCTTTCCGAAATTTTTGAGTGAAAATCGATGAATTACTGATCTTTTACCTCTAAATAACACAAAATGACTGTAGAATCATATTTTTTAGATCTCTGTACTTTAAAACAGATGCCTTTTAAAATTCGGTTTTAGTGAGACAAAATAACTTATTAATACAGTCAAAAGTCTTTAATCCGGACTCGTCGGGCGATTCCAGATTACCGGATAGTTTATCCAACAGATGGCAGTATCTGCCAAGCTCCTTTGGTAATCGCCAATGTGCATGCACTACCTGAGTGTAGAAAAAAGTATGTTGGAAGAGAATGAGTTTTCGTTAAGAATGTTGCTGCACACTTTTCGCTGTGTAAATAAACGTATATTTTTGTAACATGGATGTTCTTTACTCTCTAATGCGAATCACTAGGTTATTGCATGAATCCCAACTGACTCAAAATCCATTTTCAAAATGTGGATCACCACAATCTCAATACAGCAAAGCACATCATGGCTATCTAATAGGATGGATGTCTTTTCAAGGGAAAATGGCTCACATTAATGGTACATATGGAAGAAAACACATGAATGCCAGTCTTTTCACCAAAATCTGGTCCTGGCTTGAGCTACCAGTGTTCAAGAATTCTGACCACATGATTTTTGGTACGTAATAGAAAAATAACCCCCCCCCAACACACACAAAAAAAAGGTCTGAAGCTCTACAAGTTCAGTGAATATTGCAAAAATTGTAGGATTTTAAATACATATGAACCTAAGAATTTTAAGTTCTTTCATTAAATTAATAAAATTCTGAATTTAAATTTTTGATACTAAATGCAGAAATAATTTCTTTAAAGGTTTTTATTCAAAGTAATATTACAATACCAAGGTATTTAACAAGTGACCCAATATGAATAACATTTCGTTAAGAATAAATAAAGTTTTGAACTGATAACAATGCAATCCCCCTCACAATTTTTCAATTTTAGCAAGCTTTTTAATAACTAAAATTAGAAAAAAAAAAGGAAACATACTTTTAAATCCCTATGAATAATTGGTGGCTTCTGAGAATGCATATGTTGAACTGCAGAACATGTCTGATAAAAGATTTGGATGACTTGTGCACAAGATAAAGGACTTTGTCGTGCATTGATTGCATCAACCAGTGGACCACCTATAAAATCACAGATCTGGATGATAAATTAAAACATATTTAAAACAAAACTGCAAATTAAAAAATATTTTAAAAACATATTACTACTATTACCTTCATCAAAAGTATACGGAAAATCTCCAAGAATTCTATAAATTTGAGTTTGTGAAGTTTTATTAAAATTATAGCAGATTATTAATATCAGAAATAAAAATTTCCATTATTATGTTCCTATTCATTAACGCTTTGTGTGAAATATCATTAAATAATCACTGATTTATATCAAGCACACAACTTTCATAGAATATAAAAAATGCTGAAATTAAGTATAGGCAGCCACCTTTTGAAAGTGACCAGCATTTCTGAGGATTTAAACTTAGAAGATAGTCACCTTAGAATGATACTGAACATCTTCCTTCTAAAATGATCATCTTCCCAGACTATCCCAACTGTCTAAAATTCTGCACAGACATCGTAAATGGGATCATACAACTGTAAAATGGTACACAGCAGAATTCAATTTTTGCCGGAAGCATAAATTTTGCAACACCTCATATTTTCAGAAGAATGTTTAAAGTAGGAGCAAAAGCTATGAAGTCTGGTCTTTCAAGGATAAAAGACTAAAAACAACAGACAGACTAACAGAAAGAATGACTAGCAATCTATTATAAAAATTAATTACAAACAGAACACTAAATGACTTAAAATAGCTTAAGACTAAATGCAGATAAAACAATTCTTCTTTAATGCACAACAAATTTCGGCAATTCCCAAAAAATTCGCCAAGCAAATTCACAGCTCAACCACATCTCACAGTTGAACAATAACCAAAACAGCAACAAATAACAAATCTGAGTTCTCTTAGTTGCATTTATACAAATGCAGAAACAGATATCGTTTAGCATGAGCTTCTGTAAATTTACGGAAAGCCAGGCCCTGCAAGAAATATGTCTCATATTTCACTTAAGCTAATTTTACATTCTGAACATTGCCACTCTCAGAATAAAATCAACAATTTCATATAAGAAACAATACTTATATGCAAACATATACGGCCACAAATACAAAACAAATAACTATGTAATACAACAATGCAATAAAAATGACTTAAATATTTATATATATACAACACTGTGTAATACTGATTTGATTACATAATTATTAATGAACTGGAAAAAAGCTAATACCCCCCAGAACATCTCTGGAATGAAATAGAATGACAGCTGTAAACTAGATAAACCATAATGTCACATAACAATAATAATAATAAAAAAAGGCCAAAAGCTGTTTTGGGAAAATAGCAAGGAATAATGTTTAAAAAAATGTTGCAGATAGTTGAGTTGTAAATGCAGCTAAAAGTGGAGACATAAGATATTAATTCAGGGTTTGAATTTCTGCTCATGGAAATTAAGCACATTTAAAGATTATCAATGAAAAAAATTAAAAGACCTACCAGCAAATGGAAATTGAATAAATTACAGCAATTATACATGCTGTATCCATAAAATTAAGAATAAGATGGGTAGGTTACCTCCTGAGAATAAATGTAGAGAGAACAATATTTAAAGTACTCGTGCAACTCCAAACAGTACTAATGCAACTAACAGTACTTAATACAACTCCTGTTTGTGGAAGATCTTGGAAAAGATGGAGGGATTGCATGGATGAGGATTTTGCCATTCTAAAAATTACAAACTGGAGGTCAATTGCTGGAAGGCGAGTGAAATGGGAAAGGCTTCTGAAGAAGGCCAGGGCCCAAGAGGGGCTGTCACGCCAATGCTGATGATCTACGCTTCCCTTTTACAGTTACAATTCTAAGATTAAACAGATCTGTAAATAGGATGCATTATTATTAAATATAATTATAAAAGATATTCGAGATTAACCCCTTAACTGCCGCGGGCGTATATATACGCCTTGCTCAGCCGATGCGTTAACTTTGTGAATAATTTTAGGTGTAGCAGCGCAAAGCAAATGATAGCAGTTTGGAAGGACGTATATATACGCCTGGGGCAGTTAACGCATCGGCTGAGCAAGGCGTATATATACGCCCGCGGCAGTTAAGGGGTTAAAATCAACTTCATAAAACTTATCAAGAAATTAGCATTAAGTTATAAAATTTCATGAAATATTTATATTTGACGTTTATAATAGTCCCATATATTTAAAGATTAGTAATATTTCATTTATGTTTTACTAACAATTAGCTTTATGCTGAGTCTTCTTTTAATGTCTCGTTTTGTTCTGTACTCACTTAGTCTAAAGGATTAGTAAATTAGGCAGGTTTAGGCAAATTTTATATCAAGTGGCATAGGTTAAAAATGAGTAAATCATAATCAGCATGATTCTTAACAGAAACTTGGTTGTGGTCACCACTCCTGCTTTCCTAGAGAGAAAGATGGATCCAGTGGTCAGAACAGACCTAAATGCTTGACACTGACACATGGATAAGTGTTGAAAATTAATTATGCTTTGTTTGCCTGCCCCGATTAGTGTCTGGCAAACAACCCATTAGTATTTGCATAGAATTACTAGAGTTGTAACCCATGTAATATAATGTAAGGTCCATTATAAGGTATTTCTCCTGCCTTCTTAGCATGCCTTCGTGGTTTATTAGTCAGTAGACTCAGCGTGTATTTGAAAGGTCCGTGGTTCAAGTCCCAGCGAGGCCATTGCTCATTTTTCACCTCTCCTGCTTTAAAAAAATACCTAATGTCTCTACACCTAATACTCTGCATACTAATATCTGCTGAAGATGGTAAGTTTTTTTGTATTATTTTAAATCTCATCATCTGTAAGGAATAAAGTTTTACATTAGTTTTTACATTTTTGCATTGTATCTTGCATCCAGATTAAGGATTAATGAAAGCAATAACTCGTCTTAATATGCAGAGATAACTTGTAAGCAGTTTAATTAGTTAATTTAGCAGTTATTTACATATAATTAATTCACATTTGAAATGATGCTTCTAGCGTTCACATTAGCCAGTGATCTTGAAAATTTAATCAATTAAATATGCTACCTAGTCAAATGTATTGCCGAAATTTCATTGCTCTACAATAATTTTTTCTTTGTGTTGGGAATTCCCCCCCCCCTATGCACAAAAGGTAAGACATGATTTCTCCATTTTTTATTATAATGCAATAACATAAATTTGGTGGCAAAGAAATGACAAAGATAGATTCAAATTTTTTGTGGAAGATTGAAGACAAATGTGTTGTGTTTAACTGTAATATAACTGATACTGATATCACAGAAAATCTTCTAAAAATTCATGTTCATTGCATTGATACTAAAATAACCAATATGAAAAAATATTTTTAAAAAAGTTCTGTTCTTGTAAAAAAAATTAAGAAGATTGAAACATAAAGGAAGAGATAAAGTTATAAAGCTGTAAGTACTAAAGCTGCTGATTTCAAAATTTGAAAAACGAACAAAAATTAAAACATCAAAGTCAATTAGAGGCATGGTAAACTTGTTTTTTTATAAGAATAAAAGTTAATGAACACCTAATAACTGCAAAATTTAAGACAATAAAGTGCTTTGAGGTAACTGATGAGGCAGTATAAAAATAAAGTATTAAATCTCATTAATTTTAAACTATGCTTATACTATAAGAACATGATGAAAACAGTAATCTCATTAACTGATAAAAATATTATCCGACAACTGATCTATTGGTCACATTTTAATAAGAATTAGTTGGCAAATGAAGTTTTGCTAAAAATAAGCCTTTCTTGCTGTGAAATTTCATTTGACTGATAAAAGCTGTGCAAATATCAGACTGGTTTGTTGACTAATCAATAACAGTACAGCTCATTCAAGAATGAGCTCTGAAGAATGCTTTTGTGAAGGGTATTCAAAGGAAACTATCTCATTCATGTTACATACTGGGAAAGTTTGAAAACTATATGCAGCCAACCCAGCTGCCATGAAACAAGCCAGGTAAGCTCCTTATGTTATCCACTTAATTTCTTATGAACATAAGCATTAATAAGAAAACATAAACATAGAGCTTATTACTTAGCAGCTGCTAAGAATAATTTTCATAATCCGAGGTTTTTCTCAAGTGGCATTTTTTTTTAATATACTGTAAAGGATTTTTGAACTATGTTAAAGCTGAAGAAAAAGAAAATGAATGTATAAAATTCATTGCAATTAACAGAATTCAGACCAATGATAGCAACTGTTAGAATAAATTTAAAGAAAGCCAATGGTTTTAACATTAAAATTATGATGAGTTTGCATCAGTGTTACCACCTGCATATGATTATTAATGTAAATTAAAAGTTATAAGGGATTTTGAAGTGATAATAAATTAACTGGCAGCAAATTATTGCAAATTTATATAATAGAACTATAGTTTGTACTAAAATATGGTATATTTTCCATCGTCCGTATTTTTCCCCATATTCCCTTAAATATTCCCATATTTTCAATTATGAGATGCATTGAACAATTTTCTTAACAAATATACATGAGCCAACACTGTCTATTATTAATCACCATTAAATTAAATATGCTATTCTTAAATTCTTAATTTCAAAGACAGTATTGCCAATATACAGAGGCTGTTCGCACATTTTTTAGATGATTTTGGTAAGCGGTAATAATAAATCGTTTGCTGCAAAAGAAGTAATTGCATGTTTTTAAATCAAATTATCGTCTGTGGCTTGAAAGTTTTGTTTTATTCAAAATGGCGAATTTAACAAAGCAGTGGATCGAAGGCTACCTTTACGTCTTTCCGAAGAGAAACTATGCATACTCCGTTATCCAAAAACGATGTGAGAGTCATGGTTTTTGTGATATCTAAAGCGTTGATAAGTAATATCATCAACAAGAAGGAAAAAAAACTTCAAATTGGAGCCTCTGTGACAAAAATTCCAAACAGTATCCAAGGAAAATCACATCTTCAACTATTGCAAAGGTACGTTGTTTAATGTTAAAAGAAAATCCCCCTAATCAAAGGACAGTGCAAAATCATTAAAATACCAGTGTCACTGTACAAAATGATAAACGTTGATTAAATCTTAAGAAAGTGAAAAAACGCAAGTGCATCGTCCTTCTTCCAAACCATATCGTCACGCAGGACCGCGCAGATTCTATATGAAAAACACTTATTCAAAGAAAATGGAAACAATTGTCACAATAGATGAAGCATGTGTATTTAAATCATTGTAACAAAAAAAGGCCATTTATTCCATGAAAGGGGAGAAAAAATTAAGTACATGGTTCAAAGAATCGAAAGAAAGTTTTTCTAAGAGATTCATGATTATTGGTAGTTTTTCTTATAATGGCAAGTTAAAATAAAGAGAGTGCAAAACAATATCAAGATTAACTCCAAATACTATCAGGAACATACTTTGTCGCCAATTTTTCTGAATGAAATACCATCGATTTACACACAACATCGCTTTACCCCATCTGCGAGACTCCATCAGGACAAAACTAGCAGCCACACATCAAAACCGACTGTAAATTTCCTAAAAGAAATGGAACAAAAAATCAAAAACCCTTCATATCCTACTACTTCCCGTTGTCACCTAGATTTTGTCTTTCAGACTTTTAAACTGCAGTATCCAAAGTTTCCCAAAATCCTAACAGGATTCGGCTGTTTCGAGAGGAATGGGATAGAATACCTCTTCTGCCACTTCAAAAGGCATTATTATCCTGTAATGTTGTGGTGTCGAAAGATGTTCAGAATAAGGATTTCCATAGAAAAAAAACAAAACACAAGAATTTTTGTACTTTGTTTTGTGAATACAATATACATCGTCTAAAAAATTGTGTGAACAGCCTCTGTAGTTTTCTTAAAATAATGTCATTCTATTTCCTTCATCATTTGCTAAGATAATTGATTTAAGAGATATATTTTTTATACTTAGGAAAAATGTGGAAATGAGGTAATCATGTTTGATTTTAAATTCTTTCTAGAATCAAAGAAGTAGATATTTTTCTTTGATAGTAAAAATGAAACCTCAACTACAGAATGAAGCTTTGACAATTTTATAGAGGAAAAAAAAAAAAAAAAAACTTAGCAAAAAATTGTATAAGTTTTAGAAATAGGAGTCCCCATTCCCCTCGTTTTAATGGATTGCCAAAAACTCCCAAATTTAACCACATTAATATTTTTTGAAGCTGCACAGAGCACCTATAATTTTTTAATTATTTATATTTATAAATATTTAATGTACAGCAATTTTTAAAAGGTATTATATCAAAAGATAATATCATAGGAATGAGGTGAAAACAGCAACATTCTGAAACAAATCAAAGTTTCATTTTTATATTTTCTAATAATTAATATATGTATGGTATTTTAATTTTTGCTTTTTTACCCAATTTCTAAGGTAAAATATATTTAGCATCAGATTAGAGTTATGGTAATTTGAGTTTGTAAAAGTTGAGGCAGTGATAGAGATAGAAAAAGAGAAATAAAATGTAACTCAACTCAGTATATAAATAAAGATACAAACCAGTGCAAAGTTCTGTAAGCAACAAATATTCTGCTTTCCCATGTTCTGAATGCTCCTTTTCAATTGATGCAGCATTATAAAATTTTATTATATTTGGATGACCAGAAAGTTTTTTCTTTATGAAGTCAAGAAAAAATCATATTATTTAAAGCCATTACATCTAAAACTTTATAAATCTAGAACTTATCAAACAAAAAATAAAATGATGCACATTCACAGCCATTCATGGTATTTATCCGCTTTTCTTGGTGATAATTTGTTTAGAACTACAAATTTTCCCCCCACATATCCAGTGATATTTTGGTAATTCTTATTTCTTGCTGCACTGAATTTTCGTTCCAACATTTTGTAAATATTACTAAACACTCAGCCACATTACCTATAATTGCTTTCCGTAAGATTTTTGCAATTCTGTTATTAACTATTTAAAAATATAGTACTTCCTGTGTCATAACAAATGTCATTGACAATACATTTGTTTGAGTAATAATCTTCAGCATGGTTTTTCTATTTTATACAACATGCAATAGTAAAAATATAAGTTTTATGCTCTCTTTTTTTACCTCATTTTTATGTTTTGTACACAGCATGCAGTTCTTTTAAAGTAAATTCAGGATTTTAGAGCTAATTTTCACCTTGGTGTTTACTTTAAATTTCTGGTTTACACACTTTTTTTTTATAAAAAAAAACTAATTCCCAAAAATGACAGTTTAAAAACTATAACTATCCATTTATTTACAATGAATTAAATAAAATATTAGACTAACAATGACTTGATACAAAACAGCTGTGACATAAAGAGTTATATATATTGCTTTATATCAAAATACACTGGTTTGATTTGAATTTGATAACTTATATGTAGCATTTCATGCCCCTATTTTATTTAAAATACAGTACAAAATGCGATATCTAGAATCCGAATGATCTAAAATCCACATCAGCAATCATTTTTCTTTGTATACTTTCCTTGCATGCATTTCATATTTTTTCATAATAAAATATGTGGAGAGTCCTGATTTTTAATTTTACTTTGGCACAAAATAAAATAGCACCGTAATGAACAGACAATCATTTATTAGCATAAATCTGTACGACTAATAATTACAGACAATCATTTATTAGCATAAATCTGTACGATTAATAATTAGGCTTCGTAGCTGCATTTTTTGCTTGGTATAAATCTCGAATTGAATCATTCTACATCAAAATCCATTCATTAACAGCCCAATAATACTAAAATTCAATCCCTGAGAAATAAAGAAGTTGCCAAAAAATGACAGTTGAGATAACTAATAACTATTCCATTTAAATTACAAACTGAATTAAATAAATATAGACAACAGGACTTGATCAAAACAGCTTGCCATAAAGAGTTATATAGATTGCTTTTATCAAATACACTGGTTTGATTTGAATTTGCTAACTTATATGTAGCATTTCATGCCCCTATTTTATTTAAATACAGTACAAAATGCGATATCTAGATCCGAATGATCTAAAATGCAATCAGCAATCTTTTTTTCTTTGTATACTTTAATTGCATGCATTTCATATTTTTTCATAATAAAATATGTGGAGAGTCCTGATTTTTAATTTTACTTTGGCACAAAATAAAATAGCACCGTAATGAACAGGCAATCATTTATTAGCATAAATCTGTACGATTAATAATTAGGCTTCGTAGCTGCATTTTTTGCTTGGCATACATCTCGAATTGAATCATTCTACACCAAAATATCATTCATTTTACAGCCAATGAATAATTTAAATTTATATCCCTGATGCCAACCTAGCAAATCATTGTTATTTTTGCTTTAATCACAGCATAATTATCATTGTATGGCAGGCTGAGAAATATCTCACACAGCAATATCTAAACATATTTTCTTTCAATGTTAGTAACTGAATACCAAAGAACACAGCAACCTTTTATGTTGACAATATGCTTTGTGATGATTACAGACTTCAGTTAATTGTGCTGAGAAGTACTGAATATGTTGATGATGATTTTTTGAAATTTAACAGAAATTTCGCTTCACGTGAAAAAAAAAAAAAAAAAAAAAAAAAAAAATTTTTTTTTTTTTTTTTTTTTTTTTTGAAGGATCTTGAACTAAGAATAACCAATATCTTATTCTGAAAAGCCTAAGACCAGAGCCAGAGCTGGTTCAGATAGCAGAATTTAGGGAAGGCAATTTTTTTGGAATTTAGAGAAAAGAAAATTAAGCAAGCAAATGAGCAAAGAAAATTATGGGATTGCAAAAACTTTAGAATTTAGGAAAGGCACTGGGATGCAAAATTTAGATATTGCCAAACTTTTAGAATTTAAAGGGGCACTTTTATCACTAATGGATACACTAACAATAGTGCATAGCACATGCAGTTAAGTTTTATGATGACAGCTGCGAACCTGAAGGTTTTTAGATATCAGAAACAAAAAGTGACATTTTCCAATTAATGGAATTTGTAGAGAAGTGGTAATAACTGAATATGATATGATAGAATTTCCATTTTTGATAACAATGCCCCAATCATTATTCAATTAAAGAATAGCAAAATCTGTAATACCATTCTAAAGCCACAAAACAACACTACCAATAATACTGAAGAAAAAAAAAGAAAGATTAGTGAAAACGAAAAAATGTCGATTGGCAATTTAGTGGGAATTCTTGACATAGCACTTAGTCGAGTTGAACAATGGAACATGATTATTAAACAAGAAATTGTGTCTGTCTACAGAATTAAGAGAAAATATTAGCTCTAAAAATGAAGCCACTGAAAGAAACATTTCATAAAGCAAACAAATAAATATTGAGCCTCCCCCCTTTTTCCGTAAATTTTGATTCTCTTAAGGTCATAAATGCTTCATTATTTCATAAATTACTATTTTATATCTATTTTATTATCTCTACATATCATCTTACTAGATTTAAACTCATGATCCAATATCTAGAAAAATCCCAAATCTCGAATTGCTGAAGTCCTGATTAATCTGGATCTCAACACTTAATACTGTATATTTTTTAAATACACTGCTTTCCATCCAAAATACAACATGAAGGAAGACAAGAGCTATCAAAGCCAAATTTATTTCAGAGATTACACATAGTATTAATGTTAAATGATTGGAAATACAGACTTCTTTGAAGTGACGGTGACGAGAAAATCGGTAATAAGTGTTGCCTCCATGCTTGTCAATAACTACTGCTACATACCATGGTACTGAGGAAAAGAGTCTTTCGATGTGTTGTTAGGAAATAGCAGTCCATGCTGTCTCCACACATAACACATTCATCTGGTGTACTCGCAGGTGTGGTATGCTGGACCAGATGCTCTTCAGTCATTGACCAAACATGTTCAATGGACAACAGATATGGAGGAAAGACCAGCGTAATAATGCAACATGGTAGGCTAAGAAGAAACCTTGAATATTGTATGCAATGTGCGGTCACATACTGTTCTGTTGAAATGTGGCTGCAGGCAAGCCCTGAAAATAAGAAAGGAGACAGAGATTGGCTGATTAAGTGTACCAATAATGCGTACTAGGGGTGCAGGAGTGGAATTCAATATCAGCCCACATCATAACACCATGTGCTGGACTAGTATGACAATATACAACTAGTATGCATCTGGTGTCTCTAAACTCTAATCTGACTAATGTGGCACTGCAGGCAGAAACATGGTTCATCCGAAAACACAATGTCATGCTATTTGAATATCCCTTTCCAACATCCAGTGCATCACTTCAGATGTAAACATCTATTGTTTAAAGGTAAGAAGAAGATGACAGTCCTCTATACTTTAAATGACATCAAAATGTTCATGCAGACACCGATTGTTCTATTACAGACTGCATTCATTACGATATAGTTGCGAGTGTGGCAATGCATTCTTTTGGTGCCATGAACACAATAATATGCCTGTCTTCCCACAAAGTTGATGGGATAAGGTGGTCGCAACTGCTCTCATCCATCAGTCATTCCTTTCTGCATCCACTAATTCTATATTTGCATGATTGTTGCTTGGCTACTTTGGCAAGAAGGATAATTCGCCATCTCTATATGCAACGATTCTGCCTAGGTTGAACTCAGAAACATGCTCAAATGATACCTGTATTTTTCCATAAAGATTACTGAAGTTGCACACACAAAAATTCTCATGAGAAAATAATTCACGTTATTCAAAACAGCATCATCTTTCTTTCCTTTACATACAGATGGTAAGGAGTCTATGATGTGCAGTCGCCTATGATGTGCACATGCACTGAAATCATAATCATATGCAAATTCCATTGTGGTATATATCCTGCATCATGTACACATGATGCAAGTTTCATGTCATTTAGATGCTTCCTTCATGGTGTTGAAGTTTGGATGGCAAACAGTTTATATTGAGCCATCCAAAAAATTCAACAGTTCTTCAAAACAAAGTACATTTTCTTCCTATTATTTTGTTACTGCTGATACAGGGTGGCCTTGATTGAAACGGATGTTTAAACACAATCCATAATTCTAGCATGTGCATCGCATAATTTCATTCAGTGCAGTGCTAGTTATGAGGAACCCAAAAGTTCATTTTTGTCATATTATGCTCTTTTATTTTAAAAAAAGAAAAAACTGTAATCAGACTGCTCATAAAATTTACACTATATGTGGGAAAAGTGCTGAAGCTTGTGACACAGTTCAAAAGTGGTTTCAGAAGTTTAAGTGTGGTTTAGCCTTGAAGACAATGCCTAGATGATCATCCTCTGTAAAGAACTCATTAAAAGAAGCTATCACTGAAAATTGAAGTTACAATTCAGGAACTATCAGATAGAATAAATATTCTAAAAAATTCAGTAAATGATCATTTGAAGAAAACTGGATATGTAAGCTGCTACAATACTTAGACCAAGGCTTCTCAACCGGTGGTATGCAATAGAAATATATGTGATACAAAAAGAAGCAAAGTATTTTTAACTATTAAATTCAAAAATTAAAACCTCAACATCCTGACTGAGCTTTTTTTCTTTAACACTCGCAAATTTATGCGATATGAGCTTCGTTCAAGAGCGGCAGTGGTAGTAGTACTTTTTAGTGCTGGTACTAAAGGTTTTTCAATTTTTGTTTAGATGGT